GCCCGGTGCCGGGTTGAGCGGCCGCAGCGGGGCCTGGGCGGGCAGAGCCGCCCGCGTCTGTGTGCCGTCACCGCAGCTGCTAACGACCGCGCGCGCGTGGGGCGGCACGCGCAGGGCGAGTACCCGCGTGGTAACGTCGCGCTGCTTGGCTCGGTGTTTTTTTTTTTGGTGCCGGTGCTGTCCTAATACCCCCCGCTTCCAGCAGGCGTGCAACAGCTGTATAAAAGCCGGCTGTGTTTTATGTGCGTAACTCTTCAACGTTATATATTATGCATCATCTAAATACTTGCAGATTAAACTGGTTTTGTGGGGTCTCGGTCCACTCTGCTTGCTTCTAGGTGCTGCTGTGAAGCGTTTTTGCAGTGTTACTCTGCTCTTCTGGTGCTAATGAAGCTCTTGGGGTATACGGTAACATACTCTGTATGCCGTTGCAAGGGAAAGAGAGGAGTAACTGAAAGGAACTTAACTGATGTAATAGGAAAAACAGCTGTGAACTTCGGAGAAGAGATTTTGGAAAGAGATTATGCCTGTGGCACTTGAATAGCTCAAAACCAAAATTAGTTGAAATTAAATGTGAGGATAAAGGCAGGCAGTGAAAATGGGCTTTGACAGAATTAGTAAAAACACAGGAAAAATATCTTTTGTGCCTCTGATGTTTGGATGAGGGAAGGAAAAGCAAGTAAAGAGAGGAACCTAAACTTCTAGTAGTTGCATTATAATGAACACAGTGTAGAAGAGAAACAGTATTTATTTATGACATACACTTGGTAATTTTAGTTGGGGGTGAAAAGAGGCTATAGAGTTGGAAGGGATCCCATAATCGCTTGGGTCCACCAAATATTCTGTGAAACATTAGAAGATGACTTATTTGTGCAGACTTTAAGGGCTCAGGTTTGTATACCAATTCTGGAAACAATTTTTGAAAAACTGGTGACCTGAGTTTTGACTGGCACATGAATTTCCTTGCATAGATATCAAATGTTTAAGTTTGACAGAGTTGAAGCTGCAGGAAATGATGCTGCTTTTCGGATAACAATTGTACTAGTAGAATTTCTTTCTGCTAAGAAACTTGTTTTGCATACTTTTATGGGTGCATACTTTTATGGGTGCCTCACAGAAATAGCCCAACAATAATGGCAGTTCATGTGATAGCTGCTTCCCTCCCACCCCCAGTTTATTAAACAAACAATCCATTTCCTTAACTTTCTTAGTCTCCATAGTTAAAGAAAACTAGAATACATGAACCTAAATAAAAGTATGTAGTTTTTAAATAGATCCTTAAAGCCTATTATTTTTAGGGGTCTGACTCTGAACTTAGAATGTTCAGCAGCACTATAGTAAATTGCAGGAAGACAAAAGACTGTATTCTTAAGAAGGATCTTCTTTTCCTGAGAAGACAACAGTAAAATTATCCATAAATCACTAATTTAGTCATTAGAACTCTTGTTTGGTAAAATAATTGTTAGTTGTCCAAACAGTGGTTTGTACAGAAAAAGTGTGATACATAATAACTGGCAGTTTGTAGCAATGAAGATACTGCCTACCGTCTTACAGAATTTTTTTCCCCCCCCCCCCCCCCCGAGGTGGAATACCTTTACTGCTGAGCAATATGTACAACACACATTAAGATATAAAAAGTGTTTTATTTCTGGTGGACAGAGGTGAAGGAAACAAGTAAAAAATAAATGCGTATAGTTTTGTAAACGTGCTGTGGGATACTTGATGATGGATAGACAGCTGAGATCTTGGCTTTAGGCCATCTCTGAAACAGGCTGTCCCTTGAAACTATGGTGTTGCGTTAACCTATCGCTTGTCCACCAACACTGTCTTCCATTTGAGGTGGCTGCAACTGAAATTGTTCAAGTTCATTTTACAGTTTGATTGACTTTCAGGTAGTGTGGCACAACTGTCTTAATGCTTTAGAAAATGATAAGGTTGGTAGTGCTCTTTGGTGGTTTTGATAAGTGCTATACTTTCTCTCTTCATTTGGGAAAGTCCATTTTGAGACTTAGCATGAAATTAATAGTGTTGAATACAGTAGAAACATTCAGATAAAGGTCATTCTACATCATTGTAAGCTTTTAAAATATTGCAAAGGGAATTTGGTTCTTACAGTAGTATGTATTTCAAAATCTTGGAGACTGATGAACTTCACCTTTTTGCACAATAATGATACAGTACACAGGAATACTTAAAGCATTGCTTATGCTGCCTTCCAAATGTGCTTCAGCTTCTGACTTGCAAATGTCATGTATAAAGAACATAATTTTCAAGGTGTAAAAATCTTGACTGAGTCTACAGAGACTACAAAACTGGGTGTCAACTACAGCGATCCCTCCCATAATTTGGATGCTTCTTGGGTGACCGGGCATGCATGAGTTAGTGGTGTTCAGTTTGTGAACTCAGTGTCTTCATGGGGATACTTCCTCAGTGTCTTCAAAAGTTAACAAAGAAAAAGGGCCTATTGTCAATAAGCTCAATTTTCAAAAGATTACAAGCCCATGGACTGAAAAAGGTTCAAAAGTCATTTCATGTACTGTTGCCCAGATAAAAGCCCTTTCCATGTTTGAAAAACCTTAGTGTAGTTGAGGTTGTCAGGAATCTTGGCGGCTGCTGGGGTTGACTGTTTTGTATAGATGCACCTTAATTATAACTTTGGGGAAAAAAGGCAGAATACTTTGCTAATGATTTTAGCTATACTTGTAATCCAGAGAAGACAGATAAGTTTAAATTTCCTTTTAAAAGCCTATCAGCATCTCTGTTAGTCCTTGGGTATTTTTATTTGGCCACCGGTGGCCCTCCTGAAATTAACAAGCACTGTTTTGTAAATTCCAGGATTTATTACTCTGCAAATCTTGTCCTTAGATAAAAGAGAATTGGCTTAATATCTTGTTTGCTTCATCCCTTTCAAGTCTGAACATTATAACCAAGGAATCTGTCCAAAATGAGATAAATCTGTAAATATTTTATAAGTGTGGTTGAGATGTACTCCTAGGAGTACGGTTTCGAAATAAAAGAAAACCTTTTGCGACTGCAATTTGATGTCGGTGCTGTCAGTGTGAGTGAAGAAGGAATCGCCTCATTTCCTATGATGTAGACAGCAGTGGCAAGAGAGAAAAAGTAGCAACGCTGTTATACCTGTCACTCAAATTTCCAAATACAACTTGAAATGCACTTGCTAACTGCAATTGTTAGAACAATGAAAGAGTTGAATTGTCTCTTCAGTTTCTAATAAGTTCTTCTCCCATCTCTTACAATTTAGAATTTAGGTTACTGATGACCCATCTTTATAGAGACAACCATTATTTTTCTCTTCTCCTGCTTTTTTTTTTTTTTCTTTTTTAACCACTGTTGGTGTGGCATCTGTAGGAGGGACAAGTGCCCTGATTTCAACATAATTATGACTTTGTATGTGTGAAAACTTTCTGCAACCAGACTTGCACTGGGATAGCTCCGGACTCTTGTTGTGTCACTGAGGCACAGTTGGGTGATCTCCAAAATAAACCTGTTGATCGTGTTGTATTTGGGTCATGGGGTGCATTCTCTTCCAAGTGGATATGCTGATATGCCTAGAGCTGTTGCCTTAGACTACTGCAAGAACATTTACCCTTACTCCTAGCGTTGTTTAAAACATATACTCTGTGGGATGTTAGAACTCTAACTGCCTGTGTTACTGTTGTAGAAGTCTGGTCACTTCTGCACTCCTTTCCCATTTAGCATTCTTATGTGAAATCTGAAGCAAAAAAAGAACAAGAATCTAAATCTAGCAGTGGTATCTTGCTGAGTCACTTAGTTTGGGATGGAAATTAAATTTTGCTGTTCCTATCTCTTTAATGGCTTCCCCTTTCAATCTTTTAAAAATAAAAAATTGGACTGGGACTAAAAGTCCACAGTCAGTTCTAGAGTGTCAGTTCAGAAAACTTCATTTATGTTCCTTCCCCCATTTTTAGTTTGAAAGACTAAAACAAGTGCAATTTGTGGCATGAAGTGTGATACACTTATTTTCAGGGAACTTTGAGTTTTGTTATCTAGTCTGGGTTAAGCATACTGTGTGCTATTTAACTGCTGACTTTGTTGCTAGGAGAGAATAGCAACTGCTTTACATTTCACTGGTTTCATGTTGTAATGGTGTACGACATCAACAGAAGTGACAGGCAAGGTTTAATAATTCACGAATAGAAGATCATAGGAGTCAGGATTGTAAGCCCCTGTGGATCTTGCTTTACTCTTTCCTTCGGTAGAGCAATTTCTAGAAATTAAAGGACTGGGTATTTGGAGTGTGTAGTTGAGAGGACATTAAGTAGAAAGCTGGTGTTCTGCTTATGGAATAAATGTCTCTTTTCCTTAGCAGAAACGTAAGTTTCATTAAATTCACCTGAATAAACATGATTTTGGAAGCATAGCATTCTAC